CCTGCGGTTCCTGTTCCTCTTCACCACCTCCCTCTTTCTGTTCGGATATCTCGCCTACAGGATTCTCTTTCCGTTCGTATTTCTGATGTCCATTGAAGAATGGACAACGACGAGAAGAGAAAGGACAAAAACAGAGAACAAAGAATTAACAAAGGCGAAAGAGCAACAGAGCACGTTAAAGAATATCAGGGTCGGGATCAGGGTCAGCAAAGTCAGGGTTAGGGGGCATGGGTAAACTGAGCAAAGACGGAGGGAAGGAAACGGGAGAACAGATCAGAGGTGGGCGGGCAGGGTCCGGAGGAGGAAGAGGAGGAGACAACGGAGAGGAGCAGTCAAGGACAGCAGCAGGAAGAGGGGGAGTAGAAAGAGGGGAGCGCACCCCAGCAAGAGCAGCAACCGAAAGGGAAGCAGGGGCCAAAGAAACCTCCATAGCAGGAACAGGGGGCGTAATCACTGAAACGGGAGGGGAAGGAGCAACAAAGCCAGAAGTAGGAGCTGAGGAAGAAAGCGAAGCCTTCTTACCCGCCGGGGAAGAGGAAGGAGAGGAGCCAGGCTTACGCTTCTGACTTAAAGAGACCGGTGTCCCAGCAACTACGTACCGAGCAACGGATTCCAGTGTCTCAACAAGGAGAAGCCGAACGAGAGCACACACGACGGCCGTTAGTTGAGCGATGGACATCCGCCCGCACCGACAGGCGGTGGGGAGAGCCGATAGATGGAGGAAGAGGATGGGAAGGAGGATCGGAGGAGGACGAGGAAGAAGACACAGGAGACACGACAGACCGGGTAGAACGAAGGGGAACCCCAAACAGAGGACCAGGAGGAGGATCCTTCGGGAGAGAACCCAAAGGAACAGAGGGGGCCGTGGGCGCATCAGGGTCCAAGGCCCGGAAACGGTTGCGAGTCTGAGGAAGGCGGGAAGGACGAGGAGAGGAAGAGCGCAACTCGCGAGCATAAGATATTAGCATAAGGCGGGAGCCGGCGAACCTGGCGTCTCGCCTCAGGAAAAGATAAACGCTCCCGGTGCTATAAGTTGAGGACGCCTGCCTCAAGCTTGTAATGGACACACGCACGGGAGAAGGTAGGGTGGGCCTCACCGCAGTTGAGGCAACGAGCCTGGGAAGAAGTGCACTCCGACTTAGAGTGACCTTCGCCACCACACAAAGGACAGAGAGAGACAGTCCCAGAGCAGCGGAGGGCACCATGCCCAAACCTCCAGCACTTGTTGCAGAGCCGAGGGGAAGGAATGTACTCCTGGACAGAGCACCTGGCACCAGCAAGAATGACAGAGGGTGGAAGGGTCCTACCATCAAAGGTAATCTTCACAACCCGGAGGGGTTGACGACGACTACCACGAGGGGAACGAGTAAACGTGTCCACCTGGAGAATAGAATGGCCCTGGGCAGCAAGGATATGTTGAATATCGTCGTGGCAGTCGCGCAGGTCCCGAACACCGGTCGCAAGATGGGGCGGGAGCAAAATAGTGCCAACATTGGCATTCAACTGAGCGTTCTTAGAGACCCGAACAGGGGTCTCACCAAGGCAGGATAAGGCAGCCAAGCGGGAAGCAGCATCCTGAGAAGGAGCATCATCGACACGTGTACCGAGACGAGTGGGGTTGAAAGTAATGGAGGCATCCACGGAATCAACGAGATGTCGATGGAGGGAGAAAGCGTCAGGAGGCGCAGAATCAAGAGGGAGATCAAAATATTTGGCCCACGAAGCGGGACCAAACAAGGCTTGATAGGTAGCAGAACTGGAAGGAATCGAGCGAGGGCGGCCGTGACGAGGACGGCGGTGAGAACCCCCAGAGAGAGGGGTTAAAAGGCGCAGTAGTTACAACTAGAGAAGGAGCCGCGCCAGGGGACGAGGTAGTCACCACTGGGGGCTTGGGGCTCGACCCAACCACAGAGGAGGGAGGGGAGCCAGGGGAAGGAGTCAGAGAGGCCAAAGGAGGAGCAAGGTCGGGGCCCAATGCAGCGGAGGCTACAGAGCCCGGTCTTCCAATACGGACCGACTCGGGGGCTTGGTCGCCCACCCCACGAGCCTGAGAAGGTAAACCAGACGCAGCCTAAACAGGGTTTATCATCATGACGAAAAGAAGAATTCATTCACGAATGTGCCCCCACACCCACCACGGAGCCACAATTAGAGGCAGGACACCCAACAAGAAGCTATCGCCGATCTTGCCGGGGCCTCCTAGGGGTGCGTGGTGAGTATACGCCCCACAAACGCCACCTTAAGAAACCGACAGTCCGTCGAGATCGGGTTCAGTGACGAAAGGGGGATTGACAAAAGGTTCCCCTCGCTCTCTACGTCGGGTACTGCAGTTCTACGGGTGCAAGAGTATGCCTCCTCAAGCACCCGGGCGTCAAAATAGAAGTAGTCCAAGGGAAGAACCAGAACGAGCAAAAGGTCGGCAGGAAACGGCAAGCAGATAGGAGAAGAGGGGGAGAAAAACGAAACAGAAGGAAAAGAAAAGATGCCTAGCAGAATTGGAGAGGACGGCAGCAGGAGCACAAGGCTAGAAAAGGACAGAGGACTGTCCCAAGGAGCATCACACTCCGGCAGCCGCCCACTAAGCCCCCACACGGGGGCAACGAGCTGAGCGGGGAGGGGGTGCATCCCGAGAAGGAGAAGCAACACACATGTACCGAGACAAGTGGGGTTGACAGTAACAGACGCATCCACAGAATCTACAAGATGCCGATGGAGGGAGAAATCGTCAAGAGGCGCAGAATCAAGAGGGAGGAGATCAAAGCATTTGGCCCATAAAGGACCAAACAAGGCTTGATACGCATCGGCACAGGAAGGAATCGAGCGAGTGCGGATGGGGCGCGAACGGCGTTGAGAACCCCTAGAGAGAGCGAGGGGTCAAAAGGCGCAGTAGTCACGAGAGACTTAGCCGCACCAGGAGACGAAGTGGTCACCACCGGGGGCTGGAGGCTCGACCCAACCACAGGAGGGAGGGGAGCTGGGGGAAGAAGTCAGGATGATCAAAGGAGGAGCAAGGTCGGGGCCCAACGCAGCGGGAGCTACTTTGCCTGGTCGTCCAATACAGGCCGACTCGGGGGGCTTAGTCTCGTGGGATGGGCGACCGAGAGGGAACAACGGAAACAGTCAACGACAGAGACGAAGAGAAAAATTCATCCACGAATGTGCCCCCATACCCACCATGGAGCCACAATTAGAGGCAGGACTCCCAATAGGAAGCTATTGCCGATCATGCCGGGGCCCCCTAGGGGTGCGTCGTGAGTATACGCCCCACAAACGCCACCTTAAGAACCGTCAGTCCGTCGAGATCGCGTTCAGCGACGAAAGGGGGATTGACAATAAAAGGCTCCCCTCGCTCGAGACGTTGGGTACTGCAGTTCTACGGGTGCAAGAGTATGCCTCCTCAAACACCCGGGCCTCAAAATAGAAGAAGTCCAAAGAAATAATCCAAAACACGCAAAAGGTCGGCAGGAAGCGACAAGCAGATAGGAGAAGAGGGGGAGAAAAACGAAACAAAAGGAAAAGCGATCCGGCACAATTAGAGAAGACAGCAGCAGGAGTGCAAGGCCAGAAAAGGACAGGACTGCCCCACGGAGCATCACACTCCAGCAGCCGTCCACCAAGCCCCCTGACGTCGCCAACGGGCCGGACAGGGAGGGGGCGTCAAAATAGAAGACGTCCAAAGGAATAACCAAAACAAGCAAAAGGCCGGCAGGAAACGGCAAGCAGATAGGAGAAGAGGGGGGAGAAAAACGAAACAGAAGGAAAAGGTGCTCAGCAGAATGGGAGAGGACGGCAGCGGGAGCACTAGGCTAGAAAAGGACAGAGGACTGTCCCAAGGAGCATCACACTCTGGCAGCCGCCCAATAAGCCCCCCCTCACGGCAACAACGAGCTGAGCGGGGAGGGAAGCGAGTAATTATCGAAAAAGATGGCACCAAACTGGGAAGCTTATGTAGGGAATTGTGGGAAGGACAATTTGTGGTTCAAACTCCCACACATAGCCGAGCCACAGCAACACGTGGCTGGGTACAGCCAAGTTTTAATGCAAATTCCTTGCATTTTATTCTTTAAACTACTAGGGAGGCTCTTCTGGATCCCAGTAAGCATGCTCAAATGTAGGGATGAGCAAGGAAAAAGGGGGGGGGGGGGTTAATGGCGAGGGTGTAAGACTATACAAGTTACCATTACACACAGATCTCACTAACATGATGCATCAAATAAATCCAGAAGGGCCGTGACGAGGATTCGAACCTGCGTCCGGGAGTATCCCAGACACTGCCTTAGGGGAGGCAGGCCTATTGACAATCTTGCCATTGAAGAGGGAGAACGGCCTATTGACATAGTCGAGTGCAAAAGGGGGGGGGGGGGGGGGGGGGGGGGGGGGGGGGGGGGGAAGTTGTGCAAAATGCTGGTGTGCGCCTCCGAGAGGCTACTGGATCCAGCAAGTTCAGTAGAACTTTGGTTTCAATAAAAAAAAAAATTAACCACCCTGTCGTAGCTCAGTAGATTAAGGCAGTGTCTGGGATGCTCCCGGACGCAGGTTCGAATCCACGTTACGGCCCTTGTGGATTTGTTCATACAAACTACCCTTCCTGTAGTTTTTGAAGAATCATGAATGTCGACCCAACTTTTCCTCTTACAAAGTACGTAGGATTCCGTTCGTACGAGTTATACAAAGACAAATTTTTTTGCTATTAAATGAAACCGCTCACGATTTAGATGTACTGTCCTGGGGCCTTTGTAGGTTAGAGTAAAGGACATTGTCGATTTTTCTTTACGATGGGAAACATGAAAGGCTGACTAGTTAACATTACATATGGTTAACTTTCATCAAGATATGATAAATTAATTACAGTAGTTTAATCTGTAAGCATTCTATTTATGCAAGCAAGATCTTTATGAACTTGGCCCAGTTCCCCTCCAAGTTTCATTTGAAACTTTGCTAAATATTTGAGTACCAACGATACAGGATAAACAATGGGAAAGAACTCTTTAAAATTCACAATGCACGAATTCGTTTAATAAAGATGAAGGCACCTCACATCTGACCGACTTTTACCAGGGGACGAGAAGATAACCCACGAAGGTTGTAAAGGTTTCTTCGCCCGGCCTTTCGTGTATCCTGCCCTGCTGCAACTGTAAGTATATCCTGTCAAGTGTGTAGAGGTCCAGGGTCACCGAGGTGGAGGCATATTCCAAGGTGGTGGTTGTCGCGTAAGCAGTCGCCCTATTCACGCCATTGTGGGTCAAAGACAGTCTGCAAACAAATGTAAATTTGAATTAATGATGTATGCACTTTTCCGTTTCAGCACTACCTCACGTTGAGCGTTTCTACTCACGCAAAGTTGCTGGTCTGGTCACTAATAGCGCCGAAAATGAATAAATAACGTCCTGCAACAGGAACCACGAACTCGCTGGTTGTATTGTCCCAACCGCCTCCTGTGTTGATCACCACTTCCTGTAGTAAAGGAAGTTAAACTATTGTTTCTGCTAGAATGTCTACAAACTTCAATACCTATATTTAAATATATTTTTTTAGTCTGAATAATTTGAGAAATCTATGACAATATAGTCTAAAGATTTTTAAACGAAGAACAGTTACTATGAACAGCTGCAGTTCAGGATTGTTTAGCGTAAACACGTGCGTGTGGGGGGAGGTAATGGGTTAACACCTAATTTACTAGTTTAGGGAATAACACTACACCGTCTTAAGCTTAAACTTGAGACGAGTCATGTGGTGCAAGTATACAAACTTATACCTTGCATTATACAGTAGGTTTTAGTTTTGTTAAGCCTTTTCAGCCAAGCTCATTAAAGAACCTCCCCCCCCCCCCATCTTATTTTACTTTAGTGGTACGAAGTTTCCAAGTTAATGTGCCCTATAGCGTGTATATAAATTCCACATCAATTTTTTTTTCCATTTACTAAAACACATGTAGCATACATTATACCAAATTCCATTACAGTAGAATTGTCAAAACTCAAATTCTCTAGTCGTTTACCTGAAAATGAACGTGAGCGACGGCGGTAAGTTTATCTGTAGCCCTCTTTACGTTGAAGGACACATGAGGCCTAGGGGAAGAATTTTTAGTGTACACAAATTTGAAACATTTGCAAAATATATAAAAAACTAACTGAACAATTTAGTAGCCACGGAGCTGGGAGATCTACTCACGTCACGTCACGTCCCTCTGACGTTTTGTAGTGGCGTTAGTAGAGACGTTGGCGAGGGGTCCGGTCTCGTTGTGAAGAGTATTGAAAGTAGAGTGCTCTTCAGAGTCTATACCTATTGCTAGGAGACCCACAAGTACCATCCAGATAAGGGTTACGGCCATCTGTTCAATACATTTAGAGTCATGCAATTTAAGTAATAATTAAAACCGCAGATATAAACACTACAAAACTTGTATAACCTAAAGTTAAGTATACTGCCAAGCAACACCCAAAATAAAGATTAAATTTATTTAGTAACTTTTAACTACATATCTGAACACACATTTCACAATCTTACTCACCTCAGATAAATAAGTATACACAAAACTGGACGTAGATCTTCACCAAACAAGAGAAGAAGGCAGACTGACCAACACACACTGACCAACGTCGCTTGTAAACTTTCAACAAGGACTTACTGGTCGGGATATCACACTAAGCCGACAACTGCCACACATAACCGGAGTTGCCTGAACGTAAGATCGCAGTTACCTCGCCATCTATTGAGCGAGTTAGGAACAAGAGTCAGACAGTAATTGTTCATTCACCTGAGAATCATGCAAAAGTTAAGCCTTCGCTAAGTATAATTCACGGTGCATTAAACGCGTGGAGTCGTTGATCAATTTGTAAAATGCCTGAAGACTAGGTGGCCGGCTGTGTCAAGGAGATATCTCGAGCAATGTCTCACATGCGGCCATCGGGACACTGGTGGCCCACAAGCGGCCCACAAACAGCTCACAAGCCGCCCACAAACAGCATACAAGCGGCCCTTTACCCTTCAGTATGTTGCCTGTGAGGCACTCATTTCACCCACACCTTTGACGACCCGACTACCACACCTTAAATTGAAAATACTGAAAATATATGAGAAAATTGATGTCTTGTGGCCATTCAAACTTAAGTGCTTAATTGTAGGCACTGTAGCGCTTCAGTTAGTCAATGGATATTTGTCAATGCCAGTTCAGTAGATATCAGTTAATTACCTTTCTAAGTAGTCCACAGGCCCAGTTTTTAGTATGTACAAGAAAAAGTTAAGAAATTTACTACATTTTCTATAAGAATTGATAACATTATACATATAACTGATGTAGTGCAACTTGAAAAATGTTTTCTTCAAGGAAACAAGAATTTTTAGCTTTGATGTCAATAAATAGAACAAAAATAGATGATGAATAATTGATGAGTTTGACAGGAATGCTCGTGGCACTAGGCATTTATTGGACCAAAGCTACGAGTCTCGCTATTACACAACACCACCAATGCAAGCCACGTAGATGCTCGGTAGAAAGGCTGACGTAGCTTCTTGACATCAGAAAATGATAACTGCATCTAACAACTTTGAAAGTTCGCAATTTCCTTTCACATTATTCACCGCGAAATGTTAAGTAGTAGAACGTAAACAAATTATGAAGAGACAGTAAAGCTACCGGGCCACAAAGTCTTTTTTTATTATTATTTGGTAAACACAAGTACAACAAACAGAGGGTGTGTGAGCAGACCCTTGGGGCCGTGGCAGTTGGAGGGATGGCGGCCCCCCTCCCTCCTGTGAAGCGGAGGGATACCATTGGCCTAGAATTTACTGGCCCAGCGTCTTACCCGGCAGTTGAGGTGGTGATTGACCTGTTGCGGGTGGATGTGGCATCTGTGTGCGGCGTTCAACTTGTATCCGGTGTGACGGTAACGCGTTGGTGTTCGGCTGTTCAAAGCTAGGGGTATGGCCTCGTCACATAGTATTAAAAAAAAATAGAAAATCTGGAACTTCGTCTGTGGTAAGGTAAGGAGAAGACACACAAAACACAAGTAAACTTTAACAATGAAATTTTAATTACGTTAAATAAACAAAACATGAATAAAATGGACAAACAAATTCGTATAATAAAATCAATCAAAATAATAAGAATAATTAAATGACACAATGAAAAGTTACGTTAAGACAAGTGAGCAAAATAACAAGAAGTGCAATATACAAGTAAATGAAAGGTGCTGGAATATTGGCTTTAAGCTATCACCTCTCTTAGTACACGTACGCCAAAGCTTACGTCTAGCAGGGAGAAGTGTTAACTTTGTGAAAGCACGGAATATTCTGAAGACTGAGGTCGTGGCGGCCCCAGACATCAAGTAGTATGGGGGGGTGAGTGCAGTTGCAGCCCGACCGGCGACCAATCAGAGGAGCCGGCAGTAAGACAGGTAGTTTGGCGGTTTGAGTCTGAGCAGGTGTTCTTGGCTGCATACGTTTAGCTCTCTGGCAAACCTTGCTGGTGTTGTTGTCGTTGTTGGACATTTCTTCCATAGTAGTTTTATATAGTTGTAACGACGTAATTGTGGAGGGAAGAGCAGGCTCAATCTCTTGAAGGAGATTATCGTCACAACTCTCCCCCGAAGCCTGCGGTTCTGGAAGAAGTACGTCGTTATGTGGTGGAGTAATGGATGGAGTCGCTTCTACTTCATAAACTCTGGAGAGGTCATGGGCTAAGATGTTGTCGGAATCTTGGTATAGCGTGTCTCCAGGTTGAATTTCTGCAGTTAGCAAGCCCATAGTAGAAGACGTTGAGATGAGAAGTGGGCGTGCTGCAGGAGGTGTAGGGTGGTGTGGTCCGTGTTGATGGTGGACCGAGCACTTTTCAGGTGTGGAGTGAAGTGCTGAAGCTTCAGGATTAGGAAGAGTAGCTCCTTGCCAATTGTTCCGTAGTTCCTTGTAGCAGTAGTCGCTGACAGGTGTATTCTCCTCGCCTCGTTGTTGCATCGCGACACCACCAACGTCGGTACCATTGGCGTCGACATGGAGGATGAAGGGCTTATCTGACGAGGTGAGAGTGGAATTAGAATAGGGCAAAGGAGCACGATTATTATCCTGAAAGCATTTGGGAAGATCATTAAGGATTTCGGAATTAGAAAGCGCTGACTCCTTGTCAGTGCTTTCGGGAGGAGAAGCTGGGAAGGTCTCACTGTGGATGTAGGGTTCTGTGAAGGTAGAACAGTTTATCAGGACAGTGGGAGGAGTACCATTATATTGCTTCAGGAGGTTGACGTGGCACAGCTGGGTCTTCCGCCGCCTATCTGGAGTCTCTATTACGTAGTTGTTATTATTCCTGCACTCTTTGACGCAGTAGGGTCCTGAAAACCTGTTTTGTAAAGGTGAACCTGGGATAGGGAAATATGCAAGGACGAAGTCTCCCGGCTTGAATTTTCTTACTTTGCTGGTCTGGTCATAATGAGTCTTCATTCTCTCCTGGGCTTTCAATAGATTATCATGGGCAAAGCGGTGGACTCTCTCTAGAATGTGTTGAAGGTTTTGAAGAAACTGGGGCACATTCGGATGCTCACTGAAGGTGGCATCTCGGAGAGAGTCTTTGAAAGCCTTAAGGGGAGTACGGCACTTACGGCCGTAGAACATCTCATAAGGAGATACTCCTAGGGACTCATTGGGGAGACTTCTGTAAATACACATTATAAGGTCGATTTGCTTATCCCAATCCTTAGAGGTTTCATTACAAAACTTTTTCAAGAGTGCTTTGATTGTCTGATGACTACGTTCAAGAGAACCCTGTGAAGCAGGATGATAGGGGCTGGACAATACCTGTTTGATGTTGAACTCCTCCAGTGTCCTTTTGAAGAGATCACTGGTGAAGTTGGTACCACAGTCGCTCTGAATCTCCCTGGGAAATCCGTATTGAGTGAAGATCTTCAATAGATGTTTTATAACCGTAGCAGCCGTGATGTTCTTCACTGGCACTGCTATGGGAAATCTGGTGGTAGGACACAGGATGGTTAGGATGTAGGCGTTACCTGAACTGGTCCGAGGTAAAGGACCGACACAGTCTATTATGAGTCTGTGGAAAGGTTCCGCAGGCACCTGTATGGGAATCAGTGGCGCTCTGGGAATGGAGATGTTCGGTTTGCCTGCCATCTGACATGTATGACACTGTTTTACGTACTGTTTGACGTTATTTACCATACCTGGCCAGTAGTAGTCTTGACGAATTCCATGGTAAGTCTTGTTGAAGCCGTAGTGGGAGAGCGCTCCGTGGGCCAGGTGTAGAATAGTGGGCCGCAGGCTGGTAGGAATCACAAGTTGTTCGATGTTGGCCCAATCGTCCTCCTCCTTCAGTTTACTGGGTCTATATCTGCGGTAGAGCAAGTCGTTCTCTAGGAAGAACCCAGGAATACTGTCGGGTTGAGTCTCAGCCTGGAAAAACAATGGTGTTAAAGTAAGATCTTCCCTCTGCAACTTACGGAACTCCAACTTGGTCAGATGCGGGGGGAGTTTCTGAGGGTCTTGAGGGACAGCGGTAGCAGTAGAGTCAGCTGGCTGTGGACGTGCGGCTTGTGCACGGGTGGTCACGAGAACCGGAGGAGAAACTTCATCACTCTCTTGAACCTCTGCTGGAACATACTCTAGAATAGGGTTACTTGGCACAGAGTTACACACCTGGGGTTTGTCCATGACGATCAGGTTGGTCGGTTGCAGGTCTTCTGCCAAGTCGTTGCCTAGGAGAAGTTGCACTCCAGGCATGGGAAAAGGCTTTTCCCTGACGGCGACTTGGACTTCTCCGTTCACGTAGGGACAATCCAGGTGGACTCTGGCGAGAGGGTATGGAGTGGTAGCAGTGAGGTCAGTGATGAAGACAGTTTCTCCGGTGTAGACGATGTTGGGCACAGCCGACTTCAAGATGATCGATTGAAGAGCCGCTGTGTCCCTCAAGATCTTCAATTTGCAACTTCCCTCCGGATTTGAACCGTTGGCAGAGACAGTTCCAGTATACAGGTGGTTACTGAAAAGAGAAAGATCATTAACATTAACACCAACATTCATCACAGGCTTACCGGACTTAGGAGGAGTTGGTATGGGTTTTTGTTGGTCAGTGGTTCCCTTGTATTGAGACTTACCACACTTGTCTATGGTATGTCCATAGAGTCTACAATACTTGCAGTACAGTTGTGAACCAGCTTGATCGGGGCTCACTTTCTCGTAACTGTACCACGACTTCTTACTGGAGGATGGTTTGGGTGTCAGCCGGTGGATGAGGCTGTAAGTGTCAGCCGACTTAGCACACTTCAGGTAGTCGGTTTCTTCTTTATCTGCTAAGTAGAGGCGGACAGGAGGCGGCACACGTCTCAAGAATTCTTCAACAAGCATCAGGTTGACGAGTTCTGCAAAAGTAGAGACATGTGCTGCTTCCAGCCATTTCATGAAATACCTCCGTTTCGTGTTAGCAAACTCGAGGAAGGTAGTGGTACTTGCCTTCAGGTGGTCACGGAATTTCCTTCTATAACTTTCAGTAGAGAGGAGGTAGGCGTCCAACACTGCTTGTTTCAGAGTGTGGTAGTCATTCTCAGACGCCAAAGTACTGAGTGTGACTGCAGCTCTACCTGTAAGATGGACTCTGAGAAGTGTGGCCCATTGGTCGACAGGCCAACTGAGTTGATTAGCAAGGGTTTCAAAGG